TTTCTTTTGTGCCCTACAATCCTGCATTACCTCCTCCTTGGTGTCCCCAATTGTGTCATCTCCTAACAGCTCTTCTCACCTGCACTCAGTACTCTGCTTGATAGATCTTTCCCCAAAGCAGATTGCTCTGGACCCCTTCACCCTGGACTTGTGCTCAGAATCCTTCAGCAATTTCCTGTTTTCTACAAAATAAACTCCAAAACCTCCACAACATGACCTTTGTGGTTTAGTTCCTTGCTATCACCTCCCTCTACACACTGGAAGACCACTATTCCACTCTACCACTGGGCTAGACACTGCTGGCTGCCCATCCGATATCCATTTCTCCTTCTTCCTCAATAATAGAACCCCAATTTTTAGCTGCTCTCTCAGTAAAGACTGTATTTCTCAGCTTCCCTTGTAGTTAGTTGTGGCCACCTGACAAAATTTTGGCCAAAGATGACAGCAAAAGTGTTACACAAGCCCTCCAGTAAGTCTGCATAATTGGGAACTGACTTAACTGAGAGGAATGCCCTTTTGGGTCTTTCTCCTTCCTGCTGCCTGGAATGCTGATGTGCTAAATGGAGCTCCAGCAATACTTCTGGTCCATAAAGTGGCCTTGAGTGTAAAGACCAGTGCTACAATGGTGGATCAGAAAAGTAGAGAGGACCGTGGTTCCTAAGGCCATAGAGCTTTCATGGTTACCATGGACTGCCTAGGTTCAACTTATTTTATGGTAAAAAGAAATGAACACCTCTTGTTCAAGCCACTGTTCTTTTGGATATTCTGCTATATGCAAATAATCCTAATCTTAATTGATACAGCCAGACAGAACTGTGTGTAATTACATTTCTATGCCTTTGCATATGCAGTTCCTTCTCCCTGGTATACCTTTCTTTCCTTTCCTGCTCTTGAAAACCCAATTATCCTTCTGGATCAATTTTAAGGCCTGCTGCTTCACAAAACCTTTGCCCATTCCCTGGGCGTAACAACCCCTTGTGGCACCCGTGACTTTTCCAGTCCTCAGTTTGGCCCTCTTGTAGCACTCACCTAAGTACTAGGGAGGAGTTGAATTGACTGAGGGACAAGGTCTGGATTTTCTTCAATTTCTGGCTACCCAGAAATTGGACAGTTCCTGGCAGACAGTAGGTACTCAGTAAATTTCTGTTGAACACACACACACACACACACACACACACACACACACACCCAGCACAGATGCCACAGTTTCTAGAGAAGAGACCCTCTGACAGATGTGTATGGGAAGAGTGGGGCACAGGAAGAAGGTAAACAAGAAAGAGAAGAGATATCTCCCCTTCCCCTCTCTGGCAGGCTGAGCAGCCAGGTAGGCTCCCCTCCCCCACTCCCCTCTCTGGCAGGCTCCACATTCACACCAGGAGGGGGTGCTCTTGTTACTGGCAAGGCAAGAACCAGGGCACTCAGGACAGTGGAGGGCATAGCAGAACCAGGGCTCAGAAAGACCTGGACACGTCAGCAGGGTGGAAGTAACCTCACAGACTTAACTAGGGGCTGGTTACTTTATTGGCATACGCTGGCCTCTGTCTCCTGCCCTCTAGCCCGAAGGCCCGGGGTGTGGATCCAGGTATTGACCCAGAGGATTTGATAGACCTACAGAGTTGTTCGAGTGCTCATGGGCAGGAAGTGAGTGGGTATGAGGAGAGCGAGTGCTGGGGACGCGGGTGGGAGAGCCTGTGTGGCCCCGACCTTTTTCCTCCAGAGTATGGGACCCATGGTCAGTTCTGGTTTTTTTCCACAAGGTGGAAGTGTTGGCTAAGTGATCGGGCTTCCACAGCAGGTTTTTTCCATCATTCACCAGCTTATTCAGAATCAGAATTTTAGGGCTGGAAGGGAATTTAGCTAATATATAATTAAGATGCAACTGACATGCTATTTGAAGGTCCAGCCAAATGGATTTTTCCATATATATACACAGCAGCGGGTGAAGATGGAGGACACTGTCAGCGTCCCAGAGGCTCCTGTGTACCCCTCTGGAAAGTGATCACTGTCCTGACTTCTAACAGCAAAGATTAGCTTTCCTGTTTCTTAACTTCACATGAATGGCAGCATCTGCTGGGTGCTGTGTGGATCTCTTCTGGATCACGCTGGCGGGGTTTAACACCGTTGTCAGGATAGCAGTAATTTATTTTTATGGCCATGGTGCGACCGCAGGTGATTTCCCATTCCACACTCTGTTGGTGGGAGTGGGAGGTTGGGTGCTGCAGGGAGCGGCCCTGAGACAGAGGTTACTGATGGAGCACATTAGGGAGCATTCTGGGGATCCACACCTGAGTACGTGGGACTAGACAGAGGAGGGAGCCTGGACTGCGGAGCAATTGCAACAGAAACCACTTGAGGGCAGTGCCCCAGCCTCTGAGGTACAGAGGCCTTCATTCCTGAAGTGGGACCTGAGCAACGCGTTGCAGCATCCAGCACAACTGACGTTGGGGTTGTTTCTGGTTTGTCACGAACAATGCTGCTCTGCACAGTTCTGTAGCAGTCTTTGTAGCCATCGGCACCTGAGCCTGCTGGACACTCACCCAGCAGTGGAATGGCTGGGTCTTTCATTAGCTGGGCAGGTGGGCAATTGTCAAACTGCCACACTGTACTGTCTGGTACTGACAGCTCCTTGCTGACTACCTACTGTGAGCATGGCCCTGATTGTTCTAGGGCCCAGTTTCTAGGCATGGCAGCCCCCTGCCCTCTGAGATTTTGGCCTGATGGGAGTAGTTGAGCTCAAGCAAGTATAATAAGGTGGGGCCCCAGAGCCCTGATGGCAGGCAACACAGGGGCTGGGCTGGTGTCCCAGGTTGGGTGCCTGTGGTTTTCCACTTCTGTTCAGCCGCAGGCTGGTACGAACCCTGGACAAGCCCTCAGCTTCTTTAGCTGTATGGTGGGGACTGAAACAGTCATCCAGAAGCATCTCATAGCACTGCAGGTATCTTAGGGCTGACCTCTGTGAAAGCCCTTTGAACTGGTGGTGTCCTTGGCAAACTGCCTGCCAGTGAGGGGACAGTGAGGAGGGAGGCATGTGGGGAGTTGCAGGGTCAGGGAGGAGGTGCAGAGGCCTCAGAAGCTACGGCCCCCATTCCTCCCCACTGGTTTTGAGGCCCTCAGCGCATCCTGCAGTACTGGCGACAGCCACCAGGGGCCATCTCAATCACAGAGGCTGACCTGCAAAGGGCCAGTTACTGCCTTTCTTGGAACAAGCATTTAGAACAGCCTGTTGTACCGTTAGCCTGGAGGGGAGGGGAGGGTGCATGCTGTATGGCGGGGCGGCCTCTGCCTCATACTCAGGCTACCAGTCAGCAACTACCCATAAAGCTCCCACTGTGTGTCAGCACAGTTGAATGGGGAAGATGTTGATAGCCAGTGAGTGCCCAGAAGGAAAGGAGAGGAGGGAGAAGACTCTGCAGCACCCAAAGAGAAGGGGATGCCCTGTGCCCGAATCCCCCAGGCTGGGCCAGCAAGACCATAAACCAAGGGCCCTCGCTTCAGGCTGGACCAGCTGGAACCATCAACCTTGGACTCATGGTACATGCTGCTGGCCTCTCACTGGTTTGCCTCTGGTCTTTGCTTCTAGAGGAGAAACTGAGGGAGCCTGGCAGGGTGCATGGTGTGGAAGAGAAGGTTCAGAGTGTCAGCGGCATCTTCTGAAGTCACCTGGGGCCAGGCTCCTGTTGCCTCTCCATCACTAAGACCAAAGTTACAGCACATGGGGCTGGAAGGGTCCCATGGATCAGCTCTCCCTGGCTTCCTGTTTTACGCATGGGGAGACCAGGGCACAGAGAGGACAAGGGAGGTCAAGGAAACTCAAGAGGTAGAACGTGGGTCTCCAAAGCCCCCTCCTTTCCCACCTGCTACTTCCCCAGACCTGTCACTAGCACCAGTACTCCCTGCTGCACCAGGGACTTGCATGGGAATATCTGTCCCTTTAGCCACTTTCAGAGAAGTCATGATCATGGCCTTGACTTGAGGTCCTGAGAAGGGCTTAGCCTGGAGGTGGAGACCAGGCTACTCACAAGCCTCCAGACTAAGCCAGGGTCTTTCTCTGAAATCGGGTCCACAGAACCACCCTGTGAGGAAGCATTGTGCTGCCAGGCACACCCAGACCTTCTGCGTCGATCCACATTTAATAAGCTCTCCAGGAGAGCCGTGTGTGTGTGTGTGTGTGTGTGTGTGTGTGTGTGTGTGTGTGAAAATGTGAGAAGCACTGGGTTAGAGCCAGCCACTTGGCCTCCCCCAGCCTCAGTGTCCTTGTGGAAATGGAAGGGCAGAGGCTCTCTTGCCTCTTTGTCACAGCTGATATACTGGGAGCCAGGCCTTTGGACATCCTTTCTGGGAATGACTTGCACTTTGGAGTGGGTTCTAGAAAGTGAAACTCCAGCCTCAGCAAGGTTGGGGGAGCGATCACACCCTCCCGTCCCACCTACCTCACCGTCTCCCTGGGAAGACCTGGGCTGGGCCACTCTGCAAGCCCTGGGATGCAGTGAATTCAGTTAGCCCACTTCAGCAACAGTGACTAAGTAAGTGCCTTCTGTGTGCTGGGTGAATCGCTGCCCTGCCTGTATATTCAAATTAACCAAGGTGCTTTTAAAAATGGCTAATGCTGGCCCTGCCCCAGGCTGCTGGAATCAGGACCTCTGGGTCAGGTACTGGCACAGGTACTTATGAACGTGCTTCAGGCAATTATAATGCACAGCCCGTTGGGAGTGACCGCTCAGAGGTGGGTAAGAAGTCTACCGAAAGTCCCACCCCTGCCATCCCAGGCCCTGCTTCTCCCAGGCCGGCGAGCTGGGCAGATCTGCTGCTCTGGGAAACACTGGGAAAGTCCACGGATATTTTAATCTGTGACAACAATATCTAATTAATCATCAACCCTGTAACATGATCTCAGACTATAACAAGGGGACCTGTGGAGCTCACTCTAGAAACCTGTCTACTGGCCTCTTCAGACAATTCCTCCCAGACCCAGGGACCCTGAGCCCGAGAATCCCAGGCCAATGGGGGCCCAGATCTGCTCCCAGGCTGGTAAGTGGGAGCCATAGCTTGGTCTGTAGACAGGGATACAAGAAGCAGAGGAGACCGTGGGTCATTGCTGGGGAGAAATTCAGGGGGCAGAGGTGTAGTCAGTGTAAACATCACTCAGAAAGAACTTCCAATACAGGCTGAGCCAACTTAGCTGGTGAGCTCTGGTCGTGAGGCAGTGAGGTTGTAAACTTCTTGTCCCTGTGAGGATCCAACAGAGGCCAGTGACTAAGTCTGGCATCCCTGTAGTGCCAGCTGACACACATGACCTAGCTGCCTCCAGGTCCTGTTGTATAAGGGGAAGACTGGCTAGGTGGGGAACGGTAGAGTTTAGGGGGCCTGGTGGAAGACGAGGGGTCCCAGCTCTGAAAGCTGAGCTGTGGGACCGGGGCCAAGTCATTTTGCCCTGGGGCCTCAGTTTCCTCACCCAAGGCAGAGCCTCTGCAGCCCAGCTGCTGGCTCACAGGACTGCGGGCAGCAGAAAGCAAAGGTGCACCTCACCAGGGCCGCAGTGCTCCTCGGAGTGAGGGGCCGAGATGGAAAATCTGGGCTTTTACCTCCGAGGATAGGACCGCATCGTGGGACGCTGCTCCCTCCCAGGCAGAGCCCCCCTCCCCTAGCAGCACTGAGGCTCTCACACCAACAGCAGGTGGCACCAAGAGCCTGGGGGTGGGGAGGGGTCAAGCCGCCGCTGCTGCTTTGGTAACTGTGTTTGGATCCTAGGCACCAGTGGTGCCAAGGGGAGGCAGCACGGGAGTGCATGGGTGGGGTGGGCTCCACACCTTTTCAGCCGCTGTGAGCCAGCTCCAAACGCAGAGCCCTGTGCAGAGTGGAAGATGGGCCCTGGTGGGCTGTGCAGTCCTGCAGGCCCCCTGGAGCCCCTTGGCTTCTCTCCCAGAAGCACCTTGCAGGGGCCACACTCAGGCCATTGTGAGGGGCTGTGAGGTTGCTTGTTCAGAGAGCCTGAGCATGCAGCTGACCCCAGGGTGCTCTAGGCCCCTGGCTGCCTGTGACCTGTGCAGCTGGGCGTCCTCTCAGCCTCCCTCCACTGACCGTGGAGAGTACATAGTCCCTACGGGCTGCTGGGAAGCCCCTGAGGCTGGGATGGGCAAGCTTTGCAGACTGTCAGATTCCTGTCCAGGATGAAGCCTGCTTTCCTGGGGCCCTCCGGCCACCCCCTGCCCCCCGCCCCCGCCCCCATCCTGCTGAGGGACTCATGCAACCACCAAGGCTACTCCGGGGAGTTCCTCCTCCTCCCTGCGCTGTCTTCCAGTCAGCCAGCTCCCTGGCTTCTGTCTTTCTTCTTCCTTCTCCCCTCACTCCCCTCCTGCCCTCCGGGTCAGTTCTGCCTGAGTCTGCCTCTGTCCAAGCAGCTGAACAGGGAACGGGATGGGAACTCCAACCACTGACCCTTCCTGAGGGAGGAGAGCCAGTTTCCAGCCAGGACAAGACTCATCTCTGCAGGTTACCCTCTCAGCCCAAGGAGCTGACCATGAGGGGTCTCCTGTTTTCCCAACCCAAGGTGGTGGCCTTTTCCCCGTAGGAGCTGCACTGGGTGGGGCTGAGGCAACCCCTCTTTGAACCCCAGCTCTGCCCTGCAGAGCAGGAGGCTGTGTGCCCTCTGTCTGGCAGGGTGGTGGCAGCAACAGACCTGGTGATATGTGTGGAGGGCTTGAACGCCACTCACCACCCTAACCAAGCCCATTCCAGGGCTCCTCTCCAGTTCTCACTTCAGGGATGGACAGCGAACCAGCCAAGTAAGGCAGGAAGGTGGCCTTCGCCCTCCCAGGTGGGTGTTGGCTGATTACAACGGGAACTCCTCCCTGCCCCCATCCACCCCCCAATGCCTGCCCAGGTGGACACTTAACTCTTCACATTCAAATACCTGGGGACTCCTCTGGGCTGGGGTCGGACTCAGGTTCAAATTTAATTTACCTCTTTTTATTTTCAGCCTCCTTCATCCAACCCAGAAAGAGCAGGGCCAGGAGGGAAGGAGGGAAGAGAGGAGGGAAGTTGTAAGCCTAGGGAAGCTGGCTAAGAGCAGTCCTGGGCAGGAAGCTTCCCCAGCTTCCTCCAGGCCTCCCCCAGGCTGCTGGAGTTGAGATGAAGGGCTGCCCAGTAAGCAACTTTCCTTTCCTAGCTGCCAAATAGAGTTAGCTGAGGAAGTCCCTTGATTTCAAAGCTCATCCCAGGCCTTGAAGGGGTATCTGGGGTCCCTCTTCCAGCCCGTGCCCCACCAGAGAGGAGCTCCCCGGACCTCCTCTCTCCCAGGGCAAGAACATCACCCTCACTGGGCGTCTGGCCTTCACAAGTGATGCAGGTTCTTCGCGGGAAGATCAGAAAGTCAGACAAGAGAAAATGCAGCACCAACACCATCAGCCAGAACCAAGCACAGTTAGGGGGTCTATCTCTTTCAGGTTGTTTCCAGATACAGACTTCAGACGTGTACATTAAACAAATACATCTGTGGAACAAAGCCAGGACTACACGATACGAACCGTTCTCAAACCTGCTCTTTCTGTGTAATGACATATAACCATACCCAGCACTGAAAGCCTGTACCTTGCAGCATCAGCGCTTTTAACTTTTACAACCACCCTGCAGGGAGGGGAACTGAGGCTTGAGGGGTTTCACGGAACTCAGATTCCAAACAGGCGAAGTGAGCTCCTCGCCAGCTCTGAGCAGGTCTCTGGGGGTCCCCCGGATGAGGGTCGGGGCAGTAGCCCCGGGAAAGCCGAGGATGGTGGAAATCTCCTCCCCATAAGGGTCAAGGTTGTCCCAGGATGCTGTGGCATTGGGGTGGGGGTAGTTGCGGGGGAGAGGGAATGGCCAAAGTGGCTGGATGACCCGGTGGGTCCGCGCCGGCCCTCACTAACCTCCCCCTGCCCGCTGCAGACACCGAGGAGCCCCTGGAGATCCTTCGCTTCCATCCCGAGGCCAAAGGCGCGCAGGTGCTCCTGGACGCCAAGCGGATGTCTGCGTGCCGACTCGCCACTTTCCACGACGGCATCGTGTTCAGCCAGCGGCCCGTGCGGCCCAGGGAGCGCGTGGCACTGCGCGTGCTAAGGCACGAGGGCGGCTGGCACGGTGGCCTCCGCGTGGGCTTCACGCGCCTGAACCCCGCGTATGTGCCGGCGCCCAGCCTGCCTCCCTTCCTGTGCCCAGACCTGGAGCAGCAGAGCCCGACGTGGGCGGCGATGCTGCCTGACGCCTGCGCGCTGGCTGGGGACGTTGCTCACTTCTGGGTGAACCGCCGCAGCCGGCTCTACGCCCTGGTAAACGGGGGCCGGAGGCTTCTGCTGCGCAAGGGCGTGCCCATGGGCGCCCCGCTCTGGGCCGTGATGGATGTGTACGGGACCACAAAGGCCGTCGAGCTGCTCGGTGAGGCAACTCGCTCCTTCAAGGCACCGCCCCTGGGGGGAGGTGGACGATCGGGAGTTACTCCTCCCGCATTCAGAGCCTAGGGGAGAACCATTTATCTGTTCGTTTGTTATATTCAGTTTTTCCATCAGCCCCTGCCAGTGTCGGGTATGAAGATGGAAGCTGGGGACAAAACCCAGCTATAGGAAGGGCAACCTGTCCCTAAAGAATGATAGGGCTGATCCCCTTTCACAAAGGAAGAAATTTGGGAGTGGGGATTTGCAGTCTAAAGTAGGATTTAGTTTACTGGGGACAAGGGTGACAAACCAAGAGGACATGGTGTGAGGGGTAGAAGTGAGCAGGAAGACAGCCTGTGGGGCAAGGGTGAGATGTACGAGTCAGCGAGTCAGCGGGTGGAAACAAGACTATCCCTCCAGCCGCCTGCAAGGAGAGTGGCTTTCAGGGGAGCCAGTAGATACAGAAACGCCCATAAGAAGAAATTTTGGTATTCCCGGGCTAGCGGTTCACGGTTCACGGTCTCCCCGCAGCACGGCTTGTCACGGCTGCTGGAGCCTCGCCCCTGGAGAGCCTGATTTGGTCAAGCTGTGAGGTGGGACCCAAGCAGCTGTTTTCTCCCTTTTCTGCTGGATTTTCATGCTGAGTGATACTGAGGGTCTCCATTCTCAGGCAGAGGCAGGAAAGAGGAGGTGTCTGAGGATGGTTGGTTAAGAAAAAGGATGCACAGCCCCACAAATTCTCTGCTGGGTTAAACTGAGAAAGGAACAGCTAGGATGGGGCTATTAGGTCTGCTGGGGGCTCACGCACTGCCACCCAGAAAAGAAAGGCGATGGGCACTGCCTCAGGGGTAGGGAGACAGGAGCACCCCGGCTTTGCTTTCCACAGGCCTGAGTCTCCCTCTCTATCCCAGATCCGACAGCCAGTGCCTTCCCCACAGCCTCACCCTGGGCCCTCCCAGAGGAGACTCCCTCTGACCCTGAAGGTGAGTGGCTTCCTGCAATGCCAGGAACTCCCCAGGCCTCCATCCCCAGGTGGGGGGACGCCCGGGAGGTCGGGGGGACGGACCCAGCCCCAGGATCTCAGGAAAGTCTTTCAAGTCCCATCAAGTCTCTCATAGGCTTTAGGCCAAACAATTTGGTTCTGCCTACTTGAACCTAAAAGCAATGGTGGCTATGCAGTGGATTTTTTGTGTTTTTATTTTTAAGTAGTTTAACAGCTCTGCATTCTAGAACATTGGCTATTGTACAAGTTACAAGAGCACATCTGTGAGCAGATGATATTTTGTCCCTGTGTTACAAAAGCAATCCTTGTTCACAGTAAAAGCTTTCCCAAACAGGAATAAAAAAAAAACAATTATTAAGGGATAAAGAAGGAAGTAAAAAGAAAAAAATCACCCATTACTTCCTAGGTGGATTTCCTCCCAGTCATATATACATGAGAAATTGTTTGTGCTTTGTTTTCTTTTTTCTACACAGCAATTTTATGATATAGCTGTGATGTACATTATGGCTTTCTTACCAATTTTTTTTCACTTGATTACATTATGAGCATTTTCTCACAAGGTAATATTTTTCCCAGTACGACTGCCTGGTTCTCTGTTCTGTGTCTATAACATGAGTAAGCTGCCCACCCCTTGACCCCTCTTGCCCCTGACCTGTGTTGTCCCCATTCCCAGCCACAGCAGAAGAGGAGTGTGCCATCTGCCTGCACTGTACTGCCAACACCTGCCTTGTCCCTTGTGGTCACACACACTTCTGCAGCTGCTGCGCCTGTCGGGTCTTCAGGGACACAGCCAAGTGCCCCATGTGTCGCTGCGAGATTGAGGGGGTGGTCCTGGCACGGGGCCCACGTGCTCGGAGGACTGGGGAAGGCCTTCCTGCGTGAGTGGCAAAGTGGGCCTAACTCTGAGCTGGTCCCTACAGGGGGAGAAGGGGCAGCCCACCCTCTTTCTGCAGAAAAGTCAGAAAGGCTGGTAATGAGAACAGCATAGAGAGGGAGGTAGAGGATGATGGCTTTTCCCCTTCCCCGATAGGTTAGGGCCAGTGGTACAAGGAGGAGTCCCTCTTCCTGCCCACACCAGAATTATCTCTCTGATGGGGGCCTGGTTGTAGACAGTGGCTCAGCAGTGGCCAGCGGGCTTGAGGTCCCTCTGCTTAGCTCCAAGTTCCTTCATGCCCAGGGTTTGTCAAGGCTTTTGGCTGGCCACTTGGCATAGCCACCATTGACCTAGCAATCCCTGGCACCCATAAGTGCCAAGGTTCATGGGACAGCAAGAACCCACATGTGCCAATAAGGAGTATCTTTGTTCAGAGATGGGTGGCCTGACCCCTGGTTTTATAGCTGAGGAAGTTAAGGTATCTGCATTTGCCCATGGTGACCCTGCCCATTTGGGGCTTGAGAAGCAAGACCAGATGCATGGAACCATCTGCATGGAATGTTTACAGTCCCATGTGGGAGCTGGTTCACTGCTGACAAGTCCTCAGTAAAGTGAGTCAGGAGTTACCCACCTTGCAGCATGATTGTGAGGAACCAGTGAAATCACGCATCTAAAGATGATTTAGCACATGACAGGGCACTGTTGTCATTGTACTTATTTCCCTGCCAGTTTCTGATCTATCAAAATAAAACTTGTCTTTTTTTATGAGTGACACTGTAATGAATATGCCCCTTTATTGCAGTCAGTGAAAGCAAGCGGAGCCGTGGGCTGGTCGGGATGCTGGGGCATTTGAGGATATGCCTTCCTGTCCTGTGCAGACACACTGGGCTTGCAGTGGACTGGGTGGGGCTCAGGGCACTCAGGCCTGTGCACTCCATTCTGCTGAGCATATGAAGGAGACCGTCCTACACTACCAGCCCTGAAGTAACAACCAGGCTTTGTCCTCACCACCCTTGATTTGGGGGGACCTGTATGGGAGCTCTGGCTCCTGAATAAAAGGAGAAATTGACCTGGGAGCTCCCCTCAGCAGGTGTTTGTGATGAGGGCAAGGCATGCCCCTGACTTGGCTGCTGTTCCCAGCTTGTGACAGCGTCTCCTGGGGGAGAGGCCCATAAATGCTCTAACCTTGGATGTGTGACTTGACTTCTCTGAGCCTCAGTTTCTTCACCTATAAAGTAGAAATAAGACCATTTTTTTTTATAATAACTTGTGAGGACAATGAGTATGAAACTTGCAGTTTAGAAGAAGTATTCAAAACATGGCAGCTCCATCTCCTGTATAAGGCAGTTGCCTGGGGAAGCAGCCTAGAGGTCACTGGGCTGGGCATCCGGGCCTGGGTGTGTGTCCTGGGAACCCCACATCATCCCAATATTTTCTAATGATGCCTATGGTTCCTAAAACAAGTTTTTCCTTCCTTTAAGTGCATCTTTCTCTTTTTTTTTTAACCCAGATACTTATAGGGTGAGGGCGTTACTTTAATCTTATTTCCAGTGAATACCTTCTTATTAGTTAATGCTTATGGAAGCCTGATCTTAGAATCAGCCCCTAACCAGAGGTGGGACTTCTGGAACGGTGAAGAAAGGACCTCTATAAATCTATTCTTCCATAAAAGTAACAAAAACATTGGCAAGATTATATACATATTATATCTGGATATTAACCAAAGACTAACAACCATCTGAAGGTGGATTATCAAAGAGAAACTACTGGACTTTGGTAAGAGCAGTGGAGTTTGTGGTGTTTGAACTTGGTCTACTCCCATCCCTGTAACCCCAGCTTCACAGTGGCCTTGAAAACCAGCAAGCTTGTAGCCATCAAAGGGAATAGAATGGGTGGGGAGCTCCTCAGAAAGCTCCATCCAGAGCATCGTTACTATTTGACCTGTACTGCACTCCCTGGAAAAGCTTCATTTATGGGGTGTTGCCATTATTTAATCTAATTTGAAGCTCTCTCCATGGGGAAAACCCCTCTTCCCAGGGTATTTGTCAAACATAATCAGCTTTGATTATTCAGCATTGCAGCTGCCCAAGATTGTGATAACAGTTGGGACAAACAAAAGCCCAGCCAAGAATTTAAAAGAAATATCTGGGAAATGAGGTGTTCGGAGCGGAGGTTGAAGGGCTCTGACATATTCCTGAGGATCTAAAAGACTGTGTATGTGACCAGAAAAGACCTGAAGGGACTCCAGTCTCTCAGTTCTGGCAGTCCTCAAGGGCCTGTGCAAACCGGAAGTGAAAGCTAGGACAGAGTTGTAAGCTGCCTAACAGTGAAGGTATGCCTCAACTCACAGAGCTCTTCGGCAAAGGGTAGAAGATTTCTTGACTCAAGGAATTTAAGGAAGTCTCTGTCTAATCATTGGCTGACCATTAAGCTAACTGGGGAGGTGTAGGTAAGTGTGGCTTGCCTCCACACAAACACATCAAAATTACAACTAAACTATAGAACAACCATCACTCAGAACCATTAGAAATTGAGTTGAATGGAAGTGCGACAACTACAGATTTGAAGAAACTGCACCTACCCAGGCTGGTAGGAGGGACAGAGACATGGAGATGCAGAATGAGTTGGTCCCACACTCACATGTGGTAGTTAAAAATTGGGAGTGAGGGGTCACAGCCTTAGACCAGGCCCCCAGCCCAGGGTTCCAGTGCCAGGAAAATAAGTCCCCACAACTTCTGGCTGTGAAAATCAGCAGGGATTTAGTTGGTGGAATAAAGTGTTAGATTCCTAAGTAGCTCCTCTTAAAGGGCCACAGACAGACTTACTCAGACTCACTCTCTCTGAGATCCAGCACTGGGGCAGCAGCTTGATAGGCACCAGAGGCTTATAAGGAGGTAATGAAGTGTCTGGCACCAGGGTGAGAGCTTGGGGACAGCTTTATTCCAGACAGAAGTGTAGGCAGAGACCATTGTTCCTTTTCTGAGTCCTCCCCCAACAAAGCCAGAGTCAGCAGACAGGTCCCATACTTGAGATTCCATCAACCTGGCTCACACTGTTTGCCTCACCTTGGTGATTCCATAAGGCTCTGCCCTACTCAACTTACAGACCCACCAAGTTGTTAACAATGGCTTTTCCATGTGAATGATTTCTCTTGGCTCATGCTTCACATTTCCCTAAATCCTCTCAAGCAAGCAACAGCCAGCCTCAATGAACCCCCAGCCCCTGTACTTACTAAGTGGCCTCAAATCTGACATTAGCAGCAGCTGGCCTTGGTTCACAGCCTGGCCTCACTTGGGCACCTCCCAGTCAAGCAAAGTAGCAGTCATCTGCAGATCACTTTATACCTTATGGCTAATGGTCCCAGGCAGAACACTGGCAATGGCTGACTTTGGCCTGCAGCACCTGGGAGACTCCAGAGTGTGTGGACCCAGTGGATAGCTACAGACCATGTCGGAGCATCACGACCTAACCCCCTCCACAGCAACACGCTCAATGGGCAGACTCAGCAGGCTCTAGAGCACTGCTGAAGTAAGTCCTGTTTTTATGGAGTTGGCCCCTGCACAGCTGATCCTCCACGGTGGGCAGAGGTTGGTGGTGAGTGGTCACAGCCAGTGCTTGCTGCTAACAGGCCTGGGTAAATTGCTCCCATTGAGCTGCCAACAGCAATCAAAGCTAAATTACAAAAGGAGGGTGCACTCAGCCTACATGGAGTGTGCACCCTGACTACCAGTTGGGTGGTAGGGGAGACTGTGCCACAGGACCCCTCAGGACACCTACTACATTAGGACATGGTACCAAGACAGAGAGTCATAGCAGCTCTACCTCAAATAACAAAAACAGGGAGACTACCAAAACGAGGAGACAAACATGGCCCAAATGAAAAAACAGATCGAGACTCCAGGAAACCCCCTCCCCAAAATAGAGGTAAGCAATCTACTGTATGCAGAGTTTAAAACACTGGTTATAAGGATGCTCAAGAAACTTAGAGAGGACCTCAACAGCATAAAATAGATCCAGTCAGAAATTGTCACTTATTGAGATAAAGGACAGAAATTAAGATGGTGGAAGAGTGAATGGAAGTCACACTGACCTCCTCCCAGGACCAATCTGGAATTACAACTAAATTGTGGAGAAATCACCTGAACAAACAACTGAACAATAGTGAGAGAGGAACTTATAACCTCGGACAGACAGAAGAATCAGCTTTAGCACAACTTAACTGGTAAGGAATGCAGTACAGACTCGAGAAGATGGGTTGGATGCCCACAGGCAGCAGCACCAGGAGGATATTAAAATAGCCAGCTGGATCTCCCTGAGAAGAGTGGGGTCTAAACCATAAGCAGGAATCTCCAGCCTGCAGTACCAGAGCCCCAAAAGTACACAAATAATAGGCAGCCATGAAAAGTGTCAGGGTTGTTCTCTGCCAGGCTTGGGTCTCCAGGTGGCTGGAGACCCAAAGAGCCTATTAAAGGGCAAACGCATAAATTTGTATTTGTAGCCACTTACACTGGGCTCCAGCAAAGGCAGAGGCAGAGTGGGCTAGAGATGCCTGAGGAGAGACTGGGAAAGGAGGCTTTGGGGAGAGAACTGAGAGAGTAGCCGGTGGGATCCTGGTGCTGACTTCTCCCCCAAATGGCAGCAGCCATCTGGCTCAGGCAGACCACTCCCCTGAGTGTCAGCAGAATGAGAGGACTCAATAACCCCACCCTCAGGAGGGACTCACCCTGTCCTGTGGTGCCTAAGCCTGACTGCTGAGTGCAGAATTACTAGATTAACAATTGAAGGAGACAGACACAGACAGTAGATTCCTCAAAGTATCGAACAGACTGCTTAAGGGTAGACAGGGTCAACATCTGACATCATCAGAGGCAGATCCAGAAAGAAAAAACAGCGGTCTCTTACCATAGAAGTTCACACCACAAAGTCAGGAAATCAAGACAGAGTGATTTAAGAAGCAGAAACAAAAAAGAATAGTCTCACAAATAATGGGAAGACAAAGAAACACCCC